ATAATGCATACATACGTACGTACGTACGTACGTACGTACGTACGTACATGCATACATACACACACACACACACACACACACACACACACACACAGTAGATGGAGATATTGAATAATGGAATAATGAAGGATGAAATTTTGATTTAATTAAGGAAATATGAATAACAAAATAGGTGAAAAACATATCTTTCAATATTATGGCGATATGAGAGGGGAGAAAAGTTAAAATGGGGATAGAAAATAGAGGGGAATGATAGTAATTATATATTAATATGTTAAGATATATAAAAGGGCAGAAAGGAGGTTTAGAAATGAAGGGCGATAATGAAAGGCATGTATAAATAATATAAAATAATGGAAATAAAATGTAATATTTAGGAGTAATAAGACTATGTTTACGTGTACTGAAATGTACGATACCCAGATGCCACACCATTCACGCTTTGATATGTATAAAGAATATAAAAAATAAAAATTTGATTGAGGGCTAAAGACTGCCACCCATCCACCACCCACTCTTTAACCCGTGACGTTTAAAAGCCAAGACTAAAAGAAAGATCTCTGAGCAAATGTAAACATACTGAACGTGGCTTTGGGCGGCATACAAGCAATTAACAATTAAGACATTAAAATAGTCATGAAAGCAAACATATGCAGATTAAACCACCCCCTTCGTTGGCCTTTGGGGTTTCAGCGCTCTGTACAACCCAGGACTCCACCTCCCTCCCTCTTTCACTCGCCTTCCTATTTACCTTGGACTCACCACGCACATATCCGAAACGAAGATCCACGCTCAAAAGTCGGTCATTCACTTCAGAAAAAACAGAGGCTCAGGAGGAAGCCAGTTGCTAGGTATTAGGCACCTAAGAAAAAGGGAAAGGTTGATACGTCCTGACAAGAAACTGAGCGGCGGGACGACGCGCGAAGGGAAACAAGAAAGCCAAGTCTACACTCTCACACAAAGCCCCTCACCTGCCGCGCGCGCTCGGCCCCGCCCTCTCCCCGCTGCACTCCCGCTAACCGTTTCCTTGGTTTCCCAACCGTCTTTCCACATAAACTTCCCTCACGTGGCCCCATCAGCGAGCTCGCTTATTGGCCCAACAGCTCAAGCAGCGGTAGTTGTCAACGTCGCCCCTCTTTCCATATTAACGTTCTCTCTGTTTGGGCGTTTTAGTTACAGATTTTTTTCGGGCAATGCGGGGTATCGATACCCGGGAAGGTGGATAAAGGTTGCCGAGCTCACTCTTTCTCCTAGCGCTCACCCACGCCTGCGAGTACCCTAGTCCTAACCCGCCGCTCTTCTTAACGCCGAGCAATCCTACTCTTCCGTGAAACACGCCCCCCCCCCTTCTTTTAAGGCCTTCGCGTGGCCTTCCTCCGCCTGCACAATACTTCGCGCGCAGCCGCAGTTCCTGGTTTCGTTCTCAGAAGAGAAGGGAATCTTTTCCCGTTCAGGGGTCGGTTCCTCTCTTCTTCTTTTCAGAGGGCGTTTTTCTCGGGACTGTATTTAACCCTAGTCTTTTTTGTTTTGTTTTACGACTTGAGGAAATAGGAAAGGCGTAATGCTTTTGTTCTTCGCCAGGATTTCTCGACCTGAAGAATAGTTTTGTGGGGTGGGGGTGAGGAGGAGTCTCCGCCAACGCCAACAATTGAAACGGCTAGCAGGATTTGGTGGCGCGAGAGAAAGGGGATGACATATAGGGGAGGGGGGAGGTGTAACGGTGAAAAGTAAAAGCTGGAGACCTCGGGAAAAGTTGTAATAACCTCGAAGACTGCCGGGTACCGCCATGAAGAAGACAGGAGCCTATGGGGACCGTCTAACGGGACAGTTGACTGTAGAAGGAAGTGCCCGGAGTTTCTTGTTTCGGACACTCGTGGTCGAGGAAGGTCCACCTGAGGAAAGCTAGTGGGGGTGACGGGTGGGTCGAGCCTAGTCCTGGAAATCCTATTTATCAACCGCAGAGGACAGCTGTTGGCAGTTTCTATAAAAGGGACGGAGTTGAAGCCCCCGGTGAGAGAAAGGGAGGCCTTGGAGCTTCGCTTATCTTTCAGTGTCGGAGAAAAGGGCTGGGGCAGTCTACAACGGTAGGGAACTATTGCTTTTACTACTTGTGGACTTCAAATCCCAGAATTCCCGAGCCAGCCATACTGGTTTAGGAATTCTGGGAGCTGAAGTCCGCAAGTTAAAGAGGCCATACTTCCCCACTTATGGTCTACAAGAAAGAACTGGGGAGAGGGGGGAGTGCGGACCGAATGGGAAGTCCCAGGAGGAAGGTAGGAATTGGAAGGGGACCGTTTGGAGCGGCTTGCCGACATGAAGTGATGAAAGGACCTTAGAAGGCATATTAGAGTCAAAGTCTTATTTTGAAAGCTTTGCGGGCAACTAATCTGATCTAACATGGGCGATTTTCGTTCCTTTTTAAAAATGCTTTTGTAGCAAAGCACCTACCAAAGTTATTTTTCTACCTTTCAGGTTCAACAGAATAGTGTGAAGGTGGAGCTCCTTGATCAGCTGTAGAGCAGTGCTTCTCAACTTCCTTTGTTTCTTCTGTAGAGGAAGACTTGTTTCCTCAGTGGCAGTGTTTCAGCATCTTTAAGATATGTTCCCCATGCTGGCTAAGAAATTCTAGGAGCCGATGTCTGCACACCTTAAAAGTTGCTGAGGTTGGAAAATGCTGCTGTATAGGAAATGAGACTTCCTAATGGGACCTAAGACCAGAACAGCAAGAGAGGGCCCAGAAAATGCAGAAGGAATTTCAGGACTTTACAATAAAAATGGATCTGATTCCTATTATATATTTCTCTATACACAAGGAGGAAAGGTCATATCCTACCTGATACAAATGTGTAGCAGCTACAAATTGACAGTCAAAGAGCTAATAAAATTTAAATTCATGGCCCAACTAGCCAACCAGGTATATGATACTATCAAATCTAATGGGACTAAGCGCTATAGAAAGTGATGGATTCCAGACCTTGGGCAGTGCAAATATATCAGCATGACCTCACTATACGTTTGAAATAGAAGAAAACCCATCCAGTCAGGATTAACCCAAGGACTGCAGTGAGTAAAGCACCAGTCAAGCCATGTGAAGTACCATGCAGCTTCCAACCAGTGTACATGCCTTTTGGCAAACTAGCTTCCAAATGCTTCAAATATGCAAAATATATCCCAAGAAAGATTCCCAAAATGAAAGCCCAAATAAATGAGTTTGAATCTTAAGTCATGGACCAGAGGAACTTCCTATTCCATACTACCAATGTGTTGAGTGAATGTGATAATAAACGGACACCTCACTGGGCATCTCTCCAATGACAAACATCTTTACCAGGTACAAATGAGTATAAATGCTGCTTGTCAAGACCCTAGTTAAAAATCTTTGGGAATGGGAGTTTGCTGTAATGGAGGATCATATCAATGCTGTGCCATTTGGAAAAGTTATGGCAGAATGCACATGAGAGATCCTCCCACCAGGAGACAGGTTTAGAATCAATAAAGATGATCCTTCTAATCCTGATGGCAAGGGTCATTCAAATACTTTGGAAACCAGGGACATACCTACAAGAGATAAATCTGGTTGAAATCTCAGATCCTTCTTAGAAGGCAAGTTCAGAACACATTGAGACCTCTTCTTTTGACCAGAAAAATTGGGAAGAGCCGTAAACAGAAGACTTTGTGTGTGTCACATGCCAGAAAACACATTTTTGAGCAGTTCAATGTAATTTACATCAAAAACCAACTTGGGAAGACTCATGTTACAGTAAAAGCATATTGGGACAAGTAATTGCAGGTACAGTGCTTGCAAGTGAACTACACTGCAGTTTCTAGGAATTAGGTTCAAACTTAGATTACAGCATGTGAACACACTATCACTTTGGGGAGCAAATAGTATTTAATCTTTCAGAGATCTGTAGAGAGCGTGAGGGTTTGGGAGTTTGCCACTGTAGTTCAATAGGGGGAAAAAATCCCATTGCTCCTATCCTGGCACTTAAACAAATGGAGAATAATAGGCAATTATGCCCAAAGTATGCTTAACTGTTCACAGCTTAGACAATGTACTAACATGACTGCCTTCATTTATAGATGTGGAAGAGTAAGCCAGTGTATCTAGGCCTGACTGCCTCATGGCAATATCAGGTTATTGCGAATGCAGTTAAGGTGATGCAAGCAATGTACATAATTATTGTATATCTAAGAGTACTGCAAACCTGAGAGAAATCCAAACTTGGTCTGCAAACCAGAGCAAGAAATCCATTTCTATATGGTTTATACAGAAAATAAGAGTGGAACTGGCTCTCATATATCTTGATAATTGCATTCCTTGTTAACTATTGACACTCCAGGGAGAGACACTGGATCAATGATAGACCAAGCTCTTAACCTTATTGATCTCTGACAAAAATTGTTATGCCATTATGTTGTTTAGAAGCTGTAGCATTAATTGTGGGGCCATCAAGTTGAACTTGGAACCATCCATAGAACACAAAAAAATATTTGTATGCTGGGATTTAGCATTGGATGAGTTTGATGTTAAGAATGAATATGTTCAAGGAAAGATATATCTAATAGTGGATATTATTATGAGGACTCGAGATTTTCTCCCAGGAAAAATATAGTTTTGTTTTTATTTGTTTTTTTTTTAAAGTCTGAAGAGCTGGGAGAGAAATGGTCTTCTATAGCTTCTGAGAGATTTTTGGGGAAGTTCACAAAGTGAAGCAGAAAACTACTGCTTCAGGAATTCTAGGGTTTCTGTAAAAATCGGTAACATAAGAGTCAGAATTTGTGCTACATTTTCGCATTTCTGTGTGTGGTATTAAGTCTCATTTTCTTTATTCATCATATAGCTTGTGGGAATAAATGTTCAATTTCAGCCTTCACTTACACTTCATACTGAGGGCTTTGCATATTATCTTTCTGGGGGAAAAACATTTTTTCTACTTATGTCCTGCAAGTTTGATTTTACTGTGAATAAGGGAAAGATGGCTAAATCCTCTAGTCATTGTGCCTCTACATGAAATAGCCAGCAGATGGCACTTTAGAAATTATTTCAATTTTTGCATTTTGAGCTTTTAATTATAGAACGCCAAAGCAGAGTGTGAAAGCCCAATCTCTTCTGCATACTGGGGTTAAAGGGAAGACGCCAAGTAAGATACACTCTTTCCCCAGAGGATTGGTGGGACATTGCGAACTATCTGCAATTTGGCAGTTCAAATCTCACCAGGCTGAAGGTTAATTCAGTCTTCCATCCTTCCGAGGTGGGTAAAATGAGGACCCAAATTGTTGGGGGCACTATGCTTATTCTGTAAACCACTTAGGGCTGTAAAACACTGTAAAGCTTTATTGCTATTGCCAGGCTACCCCAGATGCTTCTGTATCTACTCACTCTGAAGAATTATCTGTTCCAGATATTCCCAATTTTCTTCCAGATATTAGATTAGATTAGATATTTAAAATGTTATACTCAGTCCTTAGCCATTTCCTGATTCACTTAAATCATTCATTAAACTAGGCATTCTCCAGGGTAGATAAACCCATTAAGTTTAAGCATTCTGCCTTAAGCACCTTATGGGCCCTGGTGAAGTCCAGTATGATTTTTTTCAGCAATTTGGGAGCCAATTCTGATGTGAATGCTTGGTAGATTTTTGGAATACATAAATCTAAAAGAACATTGACAAAATGCTTCCAAATTACATCCCACTATCACAAAGATCCAGGAAGTAGGTACTTTCGTTTTTCGATAGAGCTTTAAGAGAGAAAGACATGGGTGAATTAGAATATGAGTGGATTAAGGCCAGAAGTTAACCTTAGCACACTGGCATGATATCATTTTTAAGCCTAAAGTGTGGTGTTAAAGATGTCAAAATATTTGTGATCAGCACCTCATTGGAAAAGGAGTTGATAACACCAGAAAAGAAATTGTAGTATATCTGCTCATCAAAAGAACATTCCTAGAACTATTGGTGCTGAATAATTATCATCCAGAATCTAAGTTTCTGCTTGATGGGGAGGAATGTTAAGAAAATGGAGGCTCTCCAATTCAAGAGCACCCTGAACGGAAGCAGATCATTTGAACTTTTTTGAATTAGATTTTAGTCCAAGGCATGGGACAGACTGCATTAATCATACTTGTTTATTTTTGCTGGGACTTTATG